TTGCTGCTTTGCCAGAGATTCACATGTGAAGCTTCTGCTCCATTTGCAGCATCTCCACCACTCTTTCCTGACACTCAGTTGTGTATTGCTCTTTGTAAGTGTTTTGCCAGGTATGAGCCTTGCTGTGTGATTTAACTGGGCTCCTCCTATTTGCAGCTCCAGCAAGAAGAGAACACGTCAAAGCCATTGTAAAATAATCAGTACCACATGAAATTGAGAAGTGGGATCCCATGATCTGAAATGCAGATAGCACTGAGAAGGAGAGCTGTCCTGCTGAAAAAGACCCAGAAGTCAGCAAAGGAGCTGAGTTAATGATGTGACACAAGAAAGTTAAAGGCAGAGTGATTCTGAGCAATGTAGGAGTGTCCCACTCGAGGCTGAAGTCTGCAGTCTCATCTGTCTTGATGTTCTCCACACAGGTAGTGTGTCTATTGGGTTGGGAGCAATGCTGGATACTAACTGTTAGTAGTTAGATCTATGATCTTGTTAATTAACAAGGTGATGTATCTGCCTGCACGTGGAACAGTCTCTCTGAGGAGGGATTAGGGATTGGGATTAGCAAAAATAATTGCACTTTGCTGAGATTAGTATGCCTGTCAGAGTGGAGAGGATGCCAGGTTTCACTATATGTAAAATAAGAATAATATAAAATATGAAATAATATGTAGGCATATAACTGGTGGCTTCTGTTACTCTCCATAGAGATATGCTTGTAGAATCTGGGTCCTGGTCCCAGGTACCTTGATTTTGAGGAGGAGCCCTTGCAATCCTTGGGCTCGGACAGGCTGAATAGCTGTTCCTGTTGAACAACACTGCCTGCTTGACCAGTTAATATTTATAATATATATTGCAATGGTGGCAGGAGGCTTTTACCATTGAATAGCTGAGCTGATACCATGGGGCACTGAGTCACTGTCCTTTGGATATTCCCTGTGCTGCTACTGCGAATAAATTCACCGCCTTCCATCTTAATAGCTTTGCTTTAGAGCCAGTGCCACACTTCACACCCTATTCTGGACACCCTCCAACAAGTTTATGTTTTTCACTGAGGAAGGTGAGTAAAACTGATGAGAGTATCCTTAACTAAGGAGCCATAAAATTCTAATAGAACAGTAATGTTCCCAGCGAGCCTCAAGGAAATCCAATCAATAGTTATGAGGTTGAGGCTCAATTTAAGGCTCAATTTATGGCCTTAATTCATAAAACATAGTCATTCTCCATTTTTGTACAGGATGCTTTTGTGGTTCCTGCTGAGCAGAGGAGTATAAAGTCTGCACAAGCTCTTTCTTGACAATTCCCCAGGCTTTGTCATTTAAGATAGGTGACTCTACAGAGGTGATGTTCAGGCTTCTGGCATCTATTTGAAGGTGATTTTTCATCATATAGGACAGACTGCACCAACTGTATTTATTCTGAGCATCTCAGGCTTGGAATAGTTTCACAGCAAGTAAAAAAGAAAGATATTTTGGATCTCTTTAAAAATTTTACACTGCAGTTATTCATATGCCTGTAGACCACTCCACAATCAGGAATGGTTCAACAGCATGTTCTCCAAAAAGTCTTTTACTGCTTTTTTGTTGACCCCTTGCAACAGAATTTGCAAGACACAGATGGAGGCTGGGCTGCTTCTATATTTCTAAGCTGCCTCTGTGGTTGAAAGAAGTTTTACCAGCTGCTTCTGACACAGGTGTGATCTCTTTAATTTTCCAAAATGTTAGCAAGCACAGAGGCAGACAATGAAATTTCATGCAAAAGTTTTATTAAAACCTTTATGTAAAATGACAGACCTTTCCAAAGCCTGAAGTAAATGCAACCTTTATGTACCTGCCTCCCACCAGTGGCATAAGCATGAGGAAGACAGAAGCATTTCAAATTAAATGGAAGAGCCATAAAGACATCTCCTGTATGTACTCGTCATTCCTGCACACGTAGGTTAGCAGAAGTAAGTTTTAACTTCCTGAAGTGATAGGAGTGCCTTGTAAGTGTACAGTGAGGTCCAAGCTGGAGAGGGCTCTTAATCAACACTTCGCGAAAAAATGTGTTGTGACAATCATTCAAATATAATTTCTAAGGGTGCTTTTAAAATGCCCAACTCTTACACCACGTACAGATGCACAAACAACCTGGACCTGCAGACGATCTTCATCGTACAGAGGCATTCCTGAAACGCCCGTGGTGGCTTTTCTGACCGCCCGGAGAGGCTCTGGGAGGCCGGGGCTGCTGGTGATTCCCAGGTCCTCACTCTGCAGCACCATTTTCCCCCAGTGCCAGCAGCTGCAGTGGCGGGGAGACAGAAGGGATTCTTGAAAACCGGGCTGTTACCTGAGCCAACAGCGACACCCAGGGATTCCCCTGCACAGTCCATCCCTCCTTCGATCTGCAACCCCGTGTCCCGTGCTGCCTGAGAAATATTCCAAGGTTTAGACATTTTTATCTTCCTGAATGAATACACTGATTGAGAGGGAAGAAATGCTGTACTAACTGTAGTAATTTTATCAATAGAAATCCTGTCTACTGGTGTGCTGAGAGTAAATTAGATCAGCCACAGGCGCATCTACGTTCAAATGACTGCATTCATGTGAATTGGATTGTACTTTCTTGTCTCTATCAAAACAGTTTGGCTGGTATTATTTGTTTGCAGCTAAGGTCAAGACAGACAACTTATAAAACCTTCCATCCCTGCTTCCTCACTACAGCAAAAAGCCTCACTGAGGCCCTGCTGAAAGTATTTTGGTAGTCTTTTGTTGAATAAATGCACAGAGATGAACAGTACACTCAAGGAGTATGTCACAATCAAAATAATAGGTGCATGTTCTGTATCAGTGAACACCGAGTCAGACTTCTGTTAAAATGCCCCTGAACAACATATTGAAGACACATCTGAGCAAACAGTGGTAAAATAATTAGAGAAGTAAGAAACTACCAGACATTAATGACTCAAAACATTTCAGTAGAAGCGGAAAAACACCTTAGAATTGATCAGGACACAGGATATGCTGAGAACCAACCCAAGTGACACAGTCCAATTACAAAGTGCAAGTGTACTTCCCAATCCCAGAATGCCAAAGCTGCCTGTCAGTCACTGGGACGGTGTACAGCCTGCACAGCTACTGAGGTAGTCTCCTGTTTGCTTTTCAAGCCTAGGCTTGCTTCAGATCCAAAGGGAATGCCTGTTCCTCTCTGCAGGGCAGAAGGCAGCCCAACTGAAAAAGCACCAGCAGCAAATGAGGTAGACCAGTGACTGTAGTTTTACAACAGAAGTTGTGAAGGGGAAGGGCAGGAATGAAGTCCAAAGTTTGTTATGTTCCCATTGAGAAGCTGAGGGTAATTGAGGAGGAAACAAACAAATGAAGTCTATGTTATGAAAATTTAAAGCACAAAGGTGCAAAACAATGATTTTACTTTGAAATGGAGCATAAAGTTAAAAGTTCAGAAAGCACAGAAATAATTTGTTCATGAACTGATGGTCAGGCAGTGCCTGAAAGCATATTTGGTCACTCCATGGGCTCTTTTCATAAAAACAACCATGAGCATCCTTCTCTAACTGAAACCCACCTGTAGTACTCTGAAAATCAGAACTGAATTCTCTGAAGATGAACATCCAAAATGTGGAGTGTCTGTGATTCATTTAATTCTTCTGAAAACTGTAGTCCGTAAAATAATTGTACTTTGATCTATTTTCTTGTTGCTTTCAAGCTGTCTCTATGTTTTGTAGGATTTATACTGAATCAGTTTTCTGCCTGTCTTTTCAAGGAAAGATGATTCAAACTTCTTTTTACTCCTGCCATGGCACAGCTGGAAATGGGATATTTGCCAGGAATGTCAATGTCAGATATTTGCCATACTGCCAGTGTGAGACAGTTGCTACAGTCTGCAGCTCAATACCACTGGCTTTCCTTTGCACCTTTTTTTCCTTCAGAATTTGGGAAGAAAGGTTATTTAGAAACCAGTCTACATCTTGGTAATCTTCAGGCCACCGCAAATACTGACTCCTTTGTAAGAAGTTTCGAATTGGTTTGTGTTTCATCAGTTGATATTGAGAAAGTGACCCAACCACTACCATTATGAGGACATCTTTCAGATCAGAGAAGTACCTGCTCTGGGCAAAATTGAAGGCTTCCACACACCACCCATCTTTGAGAAACTGCCTGGTCACAATACAAATTGTTTTCCTGCTGTTCCAAATGGCATCACGAATATTATTGATATGCTCTTCCCCAGGCAAGAAGTCTCTTTCCTCAAAACACAAGGTAAATCTGTTTTTATCCAAATACTGTGAATCCAGGTGCTTTAGCAAAGCATTCTGGACCCATTCAAAGTCATTTTTGCTGTAGCACAGATAGGCATCATATCTGTATTCACTTTTATCAGTTACTTGTGGACGGCTGGCTATTATTTTTTTGGTGATAGTTTTATACCAGATAAAACAAATCCCCCAACAGCGAGTAAAAATGACAGCTGACACCAGAAACATGAGAAGGGTGACAGAGAGGAAGATGAATAGTGAGAACCTGAGTGCCTCCTGGAGTTCATCACAACCGTCATATTCCAGATGTGACAGTGGTACCCCTGCAAATTCAGGTGGGTAGGCACAGTACTTGTCAGATTCTGAGCCAGCTAGGGTTACATTGGTTTCATTTAGCCACACTAGTAGGCTCTTTAAAGAGCAATCACAGACATACTTATTATGTGTTATATCCAGAATACTCAAAGTCATAAAGACTTCTGGGTCAGGGGAAAGCAGATGGTTTCCGGATAAGTTGAGGTTTCTTAGGGTCTCTGGAAAAAGCCCAGGAGAAAGATGAGACAACAGGTTGGAAGCCAGATTAAGGGTTTTTAGAGATGTTAGACCTCTAAAAATGTCCTGTGGAAGAGCACTGAGGTAGTTCTTATTCAGATGGAGATCCTTGAGTTTGGACAGTTCCCCAAACATATCCAAACATAAATCTCTCTCACACACAAGCTGTAATATATTTTCACCCAGATCCATATAGATTAACTGATGTGGAAAGGAAGGGAGCTTTTTAATGGCATTGCCTCGGAGATCAATTATTTTCAGACGTACTAAGTTACGGAATGATTTTTTACCAATCATCCCAATATCATTCTGCTGTAAATCAATATATGCTACACTATGTAGTGCGGAGGACGCGAAAAGAGCAGAATTCCATCGTTGGAAAGAGACTTATGACAAATATTAAAAGGACTTTGAAAGGAAGATGTTTATTCATTGTTGGGAACATGGACTTTACTTATCTAAATATTTATGAACGGTTTTTAATAATATTTAACATATTTAATGTTTATTATAGGAGTTATATTTATATATTGTATTGTTATATTATGAGATTTTATTCCCCTCACGAAACCCTGTAATCCTATTGGTTAAAATCCCTCAGCTAGGATTGGATGGTCAGAGCTGCAGCATGGGTGGGCCTAGCTGAGGTGATTCTTTATGTTATTGGCTGTTACTATCGGCGCGTTCTCTGTACATTTTCCTATTGGTTGTACCCCCTGCCAATCCCTAAACTCCTCCCATGTTCTAGCCCCTTCTCCCACCGACCCTATATAAACCCCCGTTCGTCCCTCACCCGGCGATGCCATTTTGGCTCAGCAGCTGGCAACAGCCCGTTGTGCCGCAGCCCTTTTTACCCTGAGTTTTCGGCTGAGCACTTAATAAATATCCCAGCTGAGCACCCTAACAGCAGTGGCGTCCGTTTCCTATTCCCCCCGGGCTGCGGCAATGTAGACCCTCAAAAGCATAATTGTACAACTCACCTAAAAGATTATTTGAGAGATTGAGAGTTTTTAGGTTGCCCAAGCCAAAAAATGCTTGCCTTTGGATATGATTTATCTTGTTTTTGAAAAGGTTCAGCACTTCCAGATTACTGAGGCTTTGAAAGACTAAAGAATTGAGAGAGAAAATGTAACCCCTTGAAATATCAAGGGAAATGAGATCACTTCTTCCTAGTCCTGCAAAAGTATAATTAGCTGGATTTTTTGAGTTTGGAAAGCCAAATCCCGAACCCATTGTATGACTCCTAAATATTGAAGAACTGATTTGAGTCCCTTTAATGGCTGTACAGAAATATTGGACTCTCTCTGTGCTCCAGCCATTTTCACTAAGGTCTAGTGAGTTAAATGTAATATTTGTGAAAGGATTTGGGCATTTGGTCCAGTCCACACTTTCTGCCTTATACAAATAATTAGAACTGAGGCTGAACAAAAAAAAGTGTTTTCCTCGGAAGCTTGTAAGATTGCTCTGGCACAGTTTGGATATCTTGTTGAATCTCAGGTTCACAGTTTTCAAGGCTGTCAGATTATAAAATAATGGATGAGGCTGAAGTTTGGTGATTTCGTTCCCTGAAAGATCCAATTCTTCTAACGATCTCAAATCTTGAAAGTAACGTTCCTCAAGGATGGAATTCCCAAGGTAGTTCTGAAACAGGCGTAGTACAGTCAGACTTGGCATCAAGATCCAGTCGAAGAATCCTATTGTATCCCAAATCTAAGATACGCAGGTTTGGCAGGTTCCTGAAAACTCCTTTCCCTATGGTGACAGGATAGACCAGCTGCGTTCCGAATTCCAGCAAAAACAGGTGCTCCAGCAGCGGAAACGAAGTGTCAGTCACTCGTGTGATATAGTTGTAAGTTAGGAAAAGCTTCACCGTATCCTTCGGCACAACTGGAATATCTGTGAGGTTGCAGAAAAAATATATGGAGACTTGGGGTTCTGAGTAGCAGCTCCTGGATGCACACACCCCACTAGCTAGCGAGAGTCCGAACACAAGCACTAGCTGATGGCATAACATCGTGAACCTGGGTGAAACAAAGTGAAAACAGGGAGCGTTAATTCTGCAGTTGGCTGTCTGTGCAGTGACTTGTAGAGCCCTTTTTTAGAAGAAGGGAGGACTAATGTCGCACTAGAAGTTATAAGTGGTTTGGGATCTACCCTTTCTCTGAAGTCTAATACGTGCTATCTGATAGGCTGTCTCGTCAGAACATGGGCCCCAAAAAGATGAGAGCAACTCCTCTGACCTAAAAAGTAACTCTTCTTTATGTACCTTAAGGGTTGCACCATGACCCCACTAGGTAGGTGCTGAAATCTTGGCCTAGCTGTGGCCATGGAACTGGTAATGCTGGTGTATTAGCTAAATTCCTTAATCAGTTATCCAAACAGGTTTAAACAGTTTGGAATACCCAAGTAGAGTGCAATCATCCAGTCATCTCAACAGAGCAGGCCAACGCTGCTCTTTCCCTGAGCCCTTGTGAGGGCTATTACCTATTTGGAATTTAGATTGCTGTCACACAGAAGCACCTAACAGCCTCGAATTTTTAAGAGGAGGACCTCTTTTGGGGCTCCTGGAGCCTCAGACTACACTGACAATGTGAAATTGTTCTTGAAATGGTTGTGAGATAGTTTTGGAGGTATAGACAGGAAAAAGGCTCACATAGAAGGAACAGAAAAGACACAATAGCCTGAAACTGTGCTGCAAGATTTCATACTTTATGAAAAACTGTATTTCCTGAACTGTAAGTTCCTAAGTTATACAAAAAGGTGGCTAACTTAATTTATGCAGCTTGCTGATGAATTGGTTTATTAATATATTGCCCCTCTGTGTTTTCTTTGCATTATGCCATCTGTCTGCCTGTCTCCCTTTAAATCCAAGACAAAAACCTCTTCAAAGCAAGGAAGGTCTTCTTTATTGAGCGCGGTAAAGAACAGAGCAAATTATTAGCCCTGAAGTGGTTGCTTGTGCACTGTAGTTTGTTTTTTTTAAAAAACTTCTAACTAAGATTGCAACCATCTGCTTCTGCTTTTAGACAAGCATTTATTGAAATGAAATGACAACCCAGTGGAAGAATTTTTGTGTCCTCCAGCACAATCTGCTTAAAAATTGTAAAGTGTAAACCCTTGGGGAACCAAGCCCTCAATGGCCATCTAACATCTGCAAAGTAAATCTACTTCAGAGAGGAAAAAAGCGGGGCTTTGAACAATTATTGTTCTGATTTGAGCACACTGCTTCTTTAAAGCACAAGTACAAACCTCTATGCAGAATACTGTACTATTTAACTCAAATCATCTTACTGCTGTCATGCAAAGGGATTTCTGGGAAATGAAAAAGTCTGTCAGTAGAAACCACTATGACATTCCCATTGCAAATACCAAAGCAAAGAGCAAGCCAATTTTTAGAGACTTTCCGCTACGTAGGAAATACAAGGATATGACAGCACAGTCCAATCTCACTCTACCAAACATCTCAAAGTCATCTGATTATATTAAACCCCTAACTTGTAACAGCTGTGACTACTAGAGTGAGTCTGCAAATTTTCACCCAAGGTGCTCAAACACCAAGTGAGAAACACAAATACCTCGCAACTTAAAATACTAATCTTTACATTTTTAGGACATTCTCGTGTGCTGAGGACAAGATCTGATTCTTGAAGTAAAAGAGACTATGAATATAGGATGAGAGTGTTGAATTCTGAAGTCCTGGCATTCAAATTTCATTCACATTTTGTCTCACTAAGGAATTTAGGATGTGCTGCAAAGAAAAGCAAATGTGCTGCAAAGAAAAAGAAATTGCAGGTAGTGAGCATCAAAATTCTGTTTTATTGAGCATAGTAAAGAACAGAGCAAATTAATAGCCCTAAGGTGGATGTTTTTGTACTGTACTTAAAAAAAACACTTAAGAGACTTTAACTTCTTCTCTGGGGAATAATTCCAAGTACTAGAAATTATTATATTTACTAACCTCTTTTTTGACCTAGCATACACTTTTAAAGGGGGCATTATAAACAGTAAACTATGTAATGTTTGTTGTTGTGACTACAGAATGTTGTAGGCTATTAAAAAAGACTCAGATAAACATATAGCAGGTAATGAGATCTTGTTTCCTTTTTTGCAATTTTCTTTCCTAGAACCATGAAAAGAAAGCACCAAGTTTCCCTTCTAGCATTTGACAACTATGACATTGGTTCTTGTTGACATTGTAATATAAGATGTTTAGCACAAATAGTTTTAGATTACAGTTATCTTTCAGACTTTTACATTTTCATTCCTTGTATTTGCCTGGATGCTATGGCTAGTTTTTAAAGTTTGGGCAAAATCACTGCATCATCAAAAGCAGTGGCAGACAGAACTTTGGAAGTCAATATTTGATGGACACGTGTACAGCTAGAAAAACTTCAAAATGCTTAGAATAGGAGAATTAGGAAATGTTGTTTTTAAATTTTAAAATGTAGTTTTATTTTCTTTATTAGAATATAAGAAAATGGTGTAAGATTTTTAGCCACCTTTCCCTTTATACTTATTTGCTTTTTCTTGTAAGTTAAACAAATACCTAACAATCTTTCAACAGTTGTTAGATTCCACCTCTGCTCTGGCTTACTGACAAGGAAGATTTCACTTGTAAACTCTTTGCTCCCTTAATTTTTTCCACGTAAGTTATTACCGTCTCTCCCAGATCTTGTCCCTCCATGAGCAGGATGGCCATGCTGGCAGTAAGTAATGCCTCTTACTGCTCTCATGAGGACAGCAAAGTTTTGTATTTTAACAGAATCCCATCATGTAGCATTTTATACAACCCTTCAATGCTGTACGTTAGCCTTTAAAACCTTTCGGGAAGAATATTCTTCCCACAAAATGAGGATCCTCCCATTCAGTTACATGTCTGTGCATGGACATGGAGATAAAAGGATGTCTAAATGCTTCATTCACAGAATCTTAGAATCTTTAAGGTTGGAAAAGACTACAAAGGTCACCGAGTCCAACCTATGACCGAACACCACCACACCAATTAAAACAGAGCACTAAGTGCAACGTCCAGTCACTTCTTGAACACTTCCAGGGATGGTGACTCCACTACCTACCTGGGCTGCCTGTTCCAATGTTTAAACACCCTTTCAGTGAAAAAGTTTTTCCTGATGTCCAACCTGAACCTCCCTGGCAGAGCTTGAGACCATATCCTCTTGTCCTGTCAATTATTGAAAATTTTCGTTATTGAAAACTGGAGCAATGAAGTTCAGAACCAGGGCCCAGCATGTGAGATTTTGTTTTCTTTTACTGCATTGATGTCAGAAGCAGTAAGCAGTGAAGGGGAAAAGTAGGAGTGGGTTGAAAAATGCAGCAAATGTTTTCGGGATGGGAAGTCCTAGGCAGGTTATGTTTCTGAGCAATGGTAAGAACTTTTACAATGCAGGGTGAATATTCTACCTAGATCTAAAGGCATCAAGTGAGTGCATACAGAATGCACATACTCTAGCTCTGGTCTCCACCTCCTGTGCATCTGGATCGGGGAAGGCAGATGCAGATGCTTTGAGTCATCTGGAACTTTCACTATTGTACTTCTTTGCAAAACTTTTGTTAACTTGGTTTTAAATCACCTAGAAACTTTCACTAGCACAGCAAAAATTGTGAGAACTGGCAGTACCTGAGAGTGGATGTTGTAGCAGTGCCTGTTTATCTCATCACAGGTGTGTATGCCTTAGGACACCCAGACAGACTGTCAGTAAGCAAGGCTTGAAGTAAAGCTGAAAAGGAGGACTATGACTGTCTCTTTTTGTTACTCATTCCAGAGTAATAACTCTCCCATGGAGAGTTAGAAAGAACTTGCTATTCCCCTTTCCACAACCCCAACAAAAGTGCACTGGATCCCACCTAAATAAAGAATGGGTTACATACCCTGCTTCTGTCCTTGCTGAGGCCTGAGGCTTGCTTTATAAAAGAGTGACCTGAAAGGAAAATTTCAGTCTCAGAAGTGGTTTTGAGCAGCAGCAGCCTCCTATGCTTCCTTCACATAACCCTAGGTCAAACATAAACCAGCACACACCAGTGGGAGGGAACAGGTATGAACTGTGTGTGCTTATGAAAATGAGCAGCAGGCCTCTGTTCTCAGTTGTCAGCCATAGGTTTTGGGGAAAAAAAGGAGCAGAAGTGAGTTTAAAAATATTTTTAATAACCTATTGCAGTGACCATGATATCCTTCTAAGGAGATTCTTTGTAGATGACAGCTCAGTCAGCCGGAGGACTTGTGTGCCCATCACATGCACAGACTACTTGAAATAATTCCAAAAGGATGAGGTCCTGTGACCAAGGGTACCAGTCATTTTGGTGTTTAGGATGTGGTCAGTGGACAAAAAGGTAAAGACAGATGTAAAGCTGGTAAAAGTTTCATATCTGCATCAAAAAGGAGAAAAAATAGTACATTTTTTGCTAATGCTAATTTTCATGAAAACATCCATGTCGTTTTCTGTAGGTCAGAAGAGTAGGGTATATGTATAATAATGGTAGCAGCAACTTTTGATAAGTGTATGAGAATCTCATCTTTAATTGCCACAAGCCTACTTTGGGATTAAGGATAGACATTAATCCTACTGCCAAGTTGGAAGGTTTTTCTTCCCTTTAACTTCATAGCTAAGGGTCTTTCAGTTTGGACAGCAAGATGCAAGAGCTCTCTTGGAGCCTGCATGAGTGCTGCTGTTACCCTGATGCCTTTCTGTGAAACACCACTACTTGTCACAGGCAGCACAAAAGTTCCCCAGAGAAAAGGGAAAGATAGGATTCAACAACTGCAGGGTATATTTCTTGCCTGTTAAACCAATGCATAGAAGATAGTCCTCTTTTCTTCCTCTGTACCCCAAAACATTAGACAACAAAGAGGTAAACACTGTCTTCATTGTCCCTTATTATTTTTAAAGTGATATGTTAGTGTTTAAAATTACAGATTTAACTTTTGATATGCACACTGCTTTCATCATCACTTTACAGCTTCTCTTGTGACTATTTTGAAAGTGTATTTCAGCCAACTTCTTTATGTATATGTCCAGAGTTCAGCTAACTGAACAGAGACTGTTTTATGTTTATTTAATCTGAACTATTCTTCCTAGTTAGTTACCCCCAGATCTTTCTGCCAGAAGCTGGCCAAGTGCAGCAGTCAGAAACAGTATCAATAAAGAAATCAGCTGCAGGTACAAAACACGTAGGCATGAAAAAGCTACTGGGAAAGGGAAACAAAGATCAGGGGGAGTTTGGAACCTGTGGTGAGTTGACCCTGGCTGGATGCCAGGTGATCACCAAAGCTGTTCTATCACTCCCCTCCTCAGCTGGACAGCGGGAGGGAAGATCCGATGAAAGATCCAAAGGTAAGGCCAGGGAGAGATCACTCACTGATTACTGTCATGTAATCAGGGAGAGATCACTCACTGATTACTGTCATGGGCAAAACAGCCTTGACTTGGGGAAATTAGTTTAATTTATTACCAGTCAAATCAGAGTATGGTAATGAGAAATAACTTTTTTTTTTTGCCTTTTGTTCTACCAAATCGTAAAACACCTTCCCTCCCCTTTCCTTCTTCCTGGGCTTAACTTTACTCCCAAACTCTCTACTTCTTCCTCTGTCCAATGACACAGGAGGACAGGGCAGGGGGGTTGTGGTCAGTTCAGACATGCTGTCTCTGCCAGTCCTTCCTCCTCAAGAAGAGGTCTCCTCACGCTCTTCCCCTGCTCCATTGTGGGGTCCCTCCCACATCAGACAATTCTACACAAACTTCTCCAATTTGAGTCCTTTCCACAGACTGCAGTTTTTCACAGATTGCCCCAGCATGGGCCCCTTCCACACGGTGCAGTCCTTCAGGAACAGGCTGCTCCACTGTGAGTTCCCCATGGGGTCACAAGTCCTACAAGTAAATTTGTTCTAGCATTGGCTAATCTTTCCTTAGGTCTACAGGTCCCACCAGGGGTGTGCTCCAGTAAAGGTTTCCCACAGGGGCACAGTGCCCTTGGGACACTGATCTGCTGCAGAGTTGGTCCTCAAGGAACTGTAGGTGAGTATCTGCTCCACCATGGCCCTCCATGGGCTGCAGGGGCACAGCTGCCTCACCATGGTCTTCACCACAGGCTGCAGGGGAATCTGCTCCAGCAGCTGGAGCACTTCCTCCCCCTCCTTCTTCACTGATTTTGGTGTCTGCAGAGTTCTTCCCCATTTCTTAAACCTGTTATCCCAGAGGCTCTACCACTGTTGCTGATGGCCTTGGCCTTGGTCAGCAGTGAATCCATTTCATAGCCAGGCTGGCACTGGCTCTACAGAACATTGGAGAAGCTTCTGGCAGCTTCTTCCCAAACCTACACAAACTCAATACAGAACCTTCGGGTAAGATGAGGGCATTTTTGCTTAGTTTCAGGTTAAGCCTGACTCAATATCGATAATCTCAGCTAGAAGGACTTTCAGATTTTAAAAGACTCTTGATTCAGGTCAGAAGTTCTAGAACAAGAACCGCAACAAAGTCAAAGAAACCCTTTCTTTCTTTTCTTCTCCTTTCCCTTTCAAGCCCAGTGTGCTTTTACTCCATCTTCATTTCCCCAGTGTCTTTCTCTTTTCACTCTCCTTTGACTTAGACATAGACCAATTGCCCCAGGATATAAATGAGGCTGAATTCCTACACTAGTATGACCTACTGCATCTGCCTGCTTTCCACTGTGCCTCAGCCTGGATTTAAAGGTAAGACTTAGTTATCTTTCTGGGGAATTTTGTTGTGCTAGCTGTCCAGTCAGAAAAGTAACCCCAAGCAAAGCATCATAATGAAGATTAGAAAGCATGCACAAACCTAACACAGCCCATGCATGATTATCTGCCCTATCCCTGGCTAGTGCAGCTCTGATCTTGTTTGCACTGCGCTTGACCCTTCTGTGGAAACACCCTGTTGGAAATCAGATGGCACCTGAAGAATCACCTATTGAGACATCATTCCAGGAATGGAAAGCCAGATGCATTGAGGAGACAAGCCCAGAGAGTGTTCAGATGATGGAAACCACCATTTGAGACTTTTTACACCACAGTGTTATGTTTGTGAGGCAAATCTACACACAGATTTGTCCTCCATGTTTTGTTCCTTCTTCATGGACTTTCCTGCCCTCAGGCAGCAACATTTATCCCATGGGTTGAGTTACCATGAGGTACCAACCAATTACCCTGTTTGGTGGGCTTTTGTCTTTACCACTCCCTTGTTACCACCCAGTTCATCCTTCTTATGTATATTTATTCCCTTTTACCCAATGTATGTGTGAGGATTTGCATGCTCCTCCTAATCTCCTCCCCTGTTCCAGAACCACCCCTTCCAAACCCTATAAAAGCCCTCCATTTTCTTAATAAAATAGTTCAGCTTGTTGCTCTTTAGACGCAGCTTTGCTGCTCCTGGGTTCAAACTTCAAGCTGCCTTTAGAACCGCCTCTTGCCTCTCTTTTGAGCTGCATGAGTGAGCGAGTGTGTGAACTCTGGCTAGCTGGCTGCTTTATTTTCCACCTCACTGAAGAGTAACAAACCCCGAGCTGGACCGCTCCCCTCCCGACACACACAACTGCGACAACACCCAATCAGAATGAAGCAGACTTGAATAACAACAACAAACCAACCAAAAAAGCAAACCAAACCAAAACTAAAAAAGGAGAGTAAGAAGCAATGCAAACAATGGGAACCGGTCTAAGTTGTTTATATGTTACAGGGCTGAGACTTCTTCTAAAGTATCTAGAAGAACTGGTCAGTTCAGACATGCTATCTTTGCCAGTCCTACCTCCTCAAGGAGAGGTCTCCTCATGCTCTTCCCCTTCTCCAGTGTGGGGTCCCTCCCACATCAGACAGTTCTACACAAACTTCTCCAATTTGAGTCCTTTCCACAGGCTGCAGGTTTTTACAATGACTTTCAGTTTTTCTGAGAATGGCTCAAAGCCATTGAGGCTGTGACTGTGGGAACTGGCAGCTCAAAGTGGAAGTTAATTGCAAAAGAAAACTGAGGTGTTGACTGTAATACTCCAGTTGGGCAAAACAAGAGGAATACTGATTCGATGCAATACTATGCCAGAGGCATGTACTGACAAAGGGAGTTAGAGGACAGTA